GGCATTGATTTGTATTGCATTGAAGTTTTCTCTCATTGTTTGTCCTTCTTTTTACTTTATTTTTTTTCCATCTGATACAATAGATGGCCGAGGACACAGAACCTTGGTGACTTTATATGTTCTGATCTCATGAACTCCCTCTGTTTGTCCTCCTTGAAGACTGAGGCTTCCTTTTGACCTAGGCACCTTGGAATGATGTCTAATATGCAGACAAGCTTGTAGCCCACAACTGTATGGTGTGATAATTTTTCACAGAATAGACATACACGTGCAGTCAGCTTCTACACTAACACTAGCACCCGGGAGCTCCCGTCATGCCCTCAGAAAGTCATGTCTCTCCTGCCTTCATGGCTACCCCATTATTACCTTCTGATATCCAATGCCCAGTGTTCACATCTGAATTTATATTGATGGACTATGGTGATTTGGGGTATCTTCACTTCATGTCTCTCAGATAAGATAGAGCCTGAGTCGTGCTGAGACCATTCTCGGTGCCATATTGTGTTTTATTCTTTGCCGCACATGGTTCCTCTGCTTTGTGGTTGATTGACATTACGGCTATTTTCCCTGTGACTGTGATGAGAAGTGAGGCCATGGAGATTCTACTCATGGTGTCTGATGAATATACACATGGGCTTTGGTTGCCTGCAGACCAAAGAACAAGATTTCTGCCTTCGGCAAAAACTACCAAACCATTCACCCATGTCGTTTTGGCGGTTTGCATCCTCTCAATGGTGAGTGGAAGTTCCAAGTGCCCACCTACACTGAGGGGCTAGGCTTCAGTTTTATTTTTTTTCTATTCTAGAGGCATATGATCTTAGTGCACTGACTTTTAAGATGGAGTTGAATGCTTGCTGTCCATTTTAATACCGTTTTTTGTGAAGCACCAACTGGAAGTTTATCCATTTTCCTATTGGATTATCTATTTTGTATTGATTTTCACAAATTCTTTATATATTCTTGATTCATGTTCTTTGTTCTCTCTCTCTCTATATATATATATATATAAATTTCATATATATACAAATGCAATTTTTTTGAGTCAAAGTTCTCACTATGTGGCTCTGGCTGTTCTGTAACTTGCTATTGTAGACCAGGTTGGCCTCAAACTCACAGAGATTTACCTACCTCTGCTTCCTGGGTGCTGAGATTAAAGGTGTGTGCCACCAACTCTTTGCTAGACATTTTTTAAAGTCTTTACACAGACTTTTGTTTATCTCTGTGATTCTTAATTTTGATGTACTGTTTTTTCCTTCATACACACTGGCATTGTTTTTTTTTTTTAACTTATTTTTGCAGTTACTTGTTTGAGGGGAAGGGAGACAACTTGTGGGAGTTGGTCCTGTCTCTCTACCACATGGGTCCTGAGGATTAAACTCAGGCTCTCAGGCTAACTGACAAGGGCCTCTAACTACTGGGCCATCTTGCTGACTGGGTATCTTTTAATTTCTTCAACAGTGCTTATCTACATCCAGCGTGTTTTGATCACATCCATACCACTTCCCTCTGTTCCAGTTCCTCCCTCATCTCTTCACTACCTTATATCCCAACAACATGAGGTCTTTGTGTGTTATCCACTGAATCTGTTTAGTCTTCCTAGGTGTGAAGGGGGAGAAGGCCAACTACTGGGACAAGGGGAGCCTCTAAGGCAGTGTTTTTCAACCTGTGGGTTGTGACCCCTTTGGGAGTCATATGGCCCTTGCACAGGGGGGTTACCTAAGGCCACTGGGAAACACAGATATTTCCATTATGATTCATAACAGTATCAAAATTACAGTTATGGAGTAGCAATGAAAATAATTTTATGGCTTGGGGTTCCACAAAAGGAGGAACTGTAGCAAAGGGTCATAACATCGAGAAGGCTGAGAACCACTGCTCTAGGGGGATATGTCCTTGAAGAAAGCCTCCAGTCCCAGCAGCCACCAATTGCTAACAGCTCCTCAGCTAGGGCTAGAAGTTTAGGAACACCTTCCCACCCCATGCTGGGATTTGGCCCAGCCAGATCTTGTGCAGGTCTTGAGAATGCTGCCAACAACCACTGTGAGTTTATGTGCAACTGCCCTGTTGCATCCTGAAATAAGGTCCCCTTATAGTTATCCACAGCTTCTGGCTCTTACAGTCTTCCTACCCTCCTCTTCCACAAAAATCCCTGGCCTTCAGAGAAGGAGGGGGTGTGATATAGACGTCCTCTTTAGAGATAAGCACTTAGCAGTTTTATTCTCTGCGTGTTGACTAGTTGTCCATGTCTGTGTTACCACTGTCTCCTTCTATAAGCAACTTCTCTGTGTGAGGGCTGAGAAATACACTAACCTATGGGTATAGCAATAAATCATTAGGAGTTGGTTCAAGTTACACGGTAAAACTATAATAATAAACCAGCATGGTGCTTGCATTTAGACAGGCACATTGACCAGTGAAAGAGATATAAGTGCAACTCCTACATCTACCTGTGTATGTGGGAGCTGTCTTGTGGATGAGACAAAAAACCAAAGTAAATAGCAGAGGAATTGCAAGAGAAGTCCCTTCTATGCTCACACTGCAAGTCTTAAAATGAGACGTGGGTGGGTTTTCTACTGTTTCAAGGCAATCAGTGTCAATGGGAACCATCCCTCACCTTATCCCTTCTGGCCAAGGCTGATCGTGCAGTGCCACGCACAGACATTCTGGCTGACCTTCCTCCGAAGCACTTGCCAAGTCTAGACCAGACGTAGTTAAGGAAGGAAAAGACTAAGGTAAAGGGAGGGAGCTAGACTCACGGCGAATGAGCCTGTCTTCCTGCCCTAGTCCCTAGCAAGCTGATGGCAAACAGCCAGGCACTATTTATTGCCCCTTTGACTTAACCATCTAACCGGGTGTGGTGAGAAATGGATTTCACAGGAAAGCATCTGGGATGGGAGAACCAGGGCGTATTGAAACCAAAGTTGAGATGTCTCCTTCCCATCAGATTTCAGTCTCTCTTAGAACAGCGATTTTCTTGGGTCCTTAAGAAGTGGCTAAATGAGCTGTTTGGTGACACAAGACACAGCAATTAGCACTTTTCTTGGTAGAAATTGATTAAAGCCATATGCAAGCATCTCAATAATCACGTGTGAATTTTCTTTCATTAAGAATGTTCTTAGATATGATTTTTCAAAATGGTTGCCAAGGAAGAGTTTCCGATAATGACTGACTGTCACCAGGGATCACTGCAACTGGGGATTTAATGAAAGTAGATGATGTTTTAGCCAGTATGAAGAACCAATTGAAGAACTAATTGAACATGTTACCTCCTGCAGCTGAATTAGACCCATTGATGCCAGCGTTATTATTTCTATCAAACAGCTGAGATTGTGAAATTCATCCCCATCGATCAGTCCCCATGGGATTCAGAAAGGGTCACTCAGAAGGGGTCTTCAAAGTGTTATCTTTGCTGCTAACCCCAAGAGTATGGGTGGCTGGTGGCTCTGTCCCACCCCAAAGAGGGTTCCATTTAGGGCCCAGGAGGATGACAAAGATTTTGTGCTGTAGATAAAGTTAGGAGGCACTTCTGCACGCTTGGGAACGAGAGAGCGCGTCATGTGGCTTTGCCCGCATTCTGCCCAGTCTTTTACTCTAGATAATAAGATGGAACATTTCATTATCTAAGGACACACAGAGGAGTAAAAGCTGCAGGACACAATGCTTGAAATGGGAAAGGAATGGGAAGCAGCTATTTCAGTCTCTGCTGGCGGGAAGTCAAGTACCTTGTGGAGATGGATATTAAAATGAAATATTTAAAAATAGCTCTGTGGAGTTTAGTCAAAATGAGCCAGGGGCAATAAAACATTAATACTTGTCTCTTCCTCACATTTATAATTGAGTATGGAATTCAGAAGTCTGTTAGAACAGAGGGAATGCACAATTTTTGGTCATTCAGGCCATTTAAATAAACACCAGTGAGTAGATGGGTATTGAACGGGTCCCTTAACCACTCCTGGCCTCTCGCTTACTCAGCAGCACAATATGAAGTATTTGGAGGAGATTTTGAAGAGATCTTCACCTCAGATGGTTTATATATAATCATATGATCTTTTAAGGGAAAGAACTTTCTGCTATTTACTTTGGTTTTCTGTCTCATCCACAAGACAGCTCCCACATATACACACACACACCCTAGGCCACAAAGGGGCTTTCTACCTACACATAGCATGCTCTCCCCCTATTTTCCATTTACTAAAACTTTTTTTTAAAAAAAAATACCAAAGGTATTAGGAGCAGAGAAACAGAAACTAGGCAAATAAACATTGGTCCTGTCAGGGCAGAAGTACAGCCGTGCATTCTCTGCCTCATCATTTAGAATAATTCAGGCTTTGAGTCTATAATTATTACATTTATTTTCTTTACAATGAAAACGTACACTAATCCCCTCCTCATGTGAGTGTGTGCTCACGTGCACAGGCAGCTGACTTATTCATGAGCATGAGGTACAGTTGTGCAAGTCAGTGGACAATCTTCCTGTCAAGTCTCACCTTTCCACCATCTTTGGCCAGGGTTTCTTCATCAGGCTAGCTGGACAGACAGCTCTTGGAGATTGTCGTGTCCCCAGCTCCTGTCTCTCCTGGGGTTACGGACCCTGGGTTCTGGGGATCCACACTCAGGTGCTCAGGTTTTCTAACTGCCTAGCTATCTCCCCATCACAGTAACTATTTCTACCCCAGGTCTGCGTTCGCTCCTCAGTGTCCTTCTGACAGTAGTACCTGAGAGAGAACAGATGTTTGTAATACATACATTCTAGGATTGGTGAGATGGCTCAGTGGGCAAAATCACTTGCCACCAAGCCTGATGACCCACATTCAATCCCCACAACCCACACGGTAGAAGGAGAGGACAGACTCCAAGTGGTCCTCTGCCCTCCACTCCTGTACTGTGGCACATGTGTGCCCACACACTCCTAAAGTAAATAATAAAGAAATGTACAAGAATGAAGATCTACTCTACATTAACCCTACTTAATTATCTTCCCATCTTCTTTTTTATTCCAGATAATCGATAACAGATTTCTAGACCGACCAGTCCAGCCCACAGGGTTGGTGTCCAAAGATTCAGAAGTAGCCATCTGACTGCTTCCCTGTGAGTACAGTTTGTTTCTTTGGGCTCTGCTTTCAGTAATTATACAACCTTTCTGCCTGACTTGCTAAATTCTTGCATGTTAAAGGTCCATCATGGAAAACCAGCCTGCCTGCTGCAACCCTGATGGTTTAATTAGCACCCTGTGGACCAGGCAGATGCTATCAAGGTTTTGAGGAATACTCCCTGCCCTTTGTACTGACTCTCTGTCTCTCTTCAGTAACCTAACTCTTTGCTCCCTGTGACTAATGGGGTCACCTTGAGGCAGCAAAGCGGATGACTCAACCCCACGGAGTCCATAAGCTCCCGGTTGTAAGAAGGCTAGTGATTTCAGGAGCAAGATGCAGCCTGCGCTTTCAACAAGTGACCAGTTAGTTTTCCGGTGCTGTGATAAAGCACCTCGGCCAAAAGCAGCTTGGGAACAAAAGCGTTTAGCTTGGCTCTTAGCTCCGGAGGGTCTGGAGTCAGTCACTCATGGAAGCAGGGCAGCAGCATGCAGCAGGAGCCGGAAGCTGAGCATCACATTCCAAGGGTAAACAGGAAGTAGAGAGTGAGCCGGAAGTGGAGTTGAGCTTTAGCCCACCCCCCAGCGATGTACTTCCTCCAGCAAGGCTCCACAACCTTAAAGTTCTATAACCTCCCCAAACGGCACCTCCAATCAGGGACCAAGTTTTAAATACGTGTGACTGTGTGTGTGTGGGAGGGGTGCATTTCCTATTTAAACCATCATAAGTCTCCCAGCTGAAGCACCCGAGAAGCACAAAGAGGGGCCCTTAAGGCAGGGTAGAGAAAGCAAAGGAAACGGGGTGGGGAGGTGGGTGTCTTAATTGAAAGGGGTTCTTTTTTTTTTTTTCAGGAATCTAACCCCATTCTCAGGCAATTATTGCTTCCGGATTATTTTATTCTTTCCCTATTCCTCTTGCTTCCTTTTTAGTTCCTCATGTCCTTGGTTCTCTTTTAGCAGAATCTCTCTTGAGGGGTGGTGGTGGTGGTGTGTGCGTATGTGTGTGTGTGTGTGTGTATGTGCATTTGGACAGTGTGACTATTGGCAGAAATGGCTATCAGTGTGTGTGTGTGTGTGTGTGTGTGTGTGCATTTGGACAGCAAGACTGTTGGCAGAAAGGGCTATCAGAAGTCTCCAAACCCCTTCTCTGCATACCCCCATCCTTTGCAGTGCCAGCTCTCTTCAAGTACGCACTCCCATACCTTTTTCCTTACCATCCTAGCGTAGCCAGGAAGTAGATGCCCGATGTTGTGGAGGTACCCCCAAATGTCACTGAGGCTTGATTCAGGAAGTTCACACAAATTTCTCTTTCTATAAGGTAGGAAATTTTGCAGGAAGGAGCTGCGCCAGGGCGCTGGAGTGAATGATGGCCGGTGGCCAGCGTAGGTGCCTCCCAGCTGTACTTCATTACCTTCCGTCACCTGACAGGCTTGACGCAAAAGACAGCTTTCCTGTGAGATGTGAAAGACGTGCTTTGAGTTGTAAGCACCCAGAAGCCTTTGCTCTTGTTTCAGAACAGCATGAATGAGAGACTTTATAGCTGCCTTGGGCCAATATGTTAAGAAACAGTTGAGGCTCCAGATGGAAGGACAAGTTTGGGGATTTGTTTTCTTCCATTTCCAGAATGAGTTCCCCTGGACACACTTAACAAAGTGTTTGGTCTCTCGCTTAGCTCAATTTTACTCCAATGTGTTATACGTTGTAGGTTTAAATGTAAAATATGATGTTTGCCTATGACTTTCTGGGAGTGGTCGTAGAATGAGGTTTGTGAGAAAAGGCCTGGAACTCACATCCATCCAGGAGTCTCCCCCACAGGATGCTGCTCCAGATCTTTGTCCTGAGACTCACAGGAAGTCCAGAATGACCCTGGGCACAGTCATGTTTGGCTAGGGATTGAAGAGCCGCATAAACACGGTTCTCAGGGGCTTCCCACCTGGCTGGTTAGGAGAGCAAGAAGAAACGCTAGCCTCACACATGGACCCTTGTAAGCTTGACTAAATGATGGTGCTTCCATGGCCATTGGAGGAACTCCCTTGAGAGCTCACATCCATGAGAGCCCACCACAGTTTCTAAGGGAAGAGAATACCAGAGTTTATGGGTAGAGCGGGCACAGCATCAGGGTAAAAGGCAGATGCTGCTGCCAGGAGCCCTGTCTACAGGTCCTTTCTGGCTCTGGTTCCCATTCACACAGAGAATATTCAGTGAAGAGGAAGGAATGGTTGAGCTATTTATACCTGAAACACAACTATCAGAAGTCCCACCTGGAGTTCCAGAACGGTAAGATCTGACTGCACAGACTCCTAGACTCTTCTTACTTCTGCCCCGACCAAGAGCCACAACCCTCCAGCAAAAGAACAAATGCATGACTTGGATGGGGGTGGGCAGCGGGTTGAGACAGTTTCCTTCCTACTATTCTCTATACCCAAAGTTCAACAATGCCAAATTAAATCTCGAGTCCATTGAGTTTTCTGAGAGGAAAGGGCAGAGTTGCATTCCGTGAAATGGATATTTTAGGCTAAAGTTATTACTTGGGGGGAGATCCCCCCCCCTTTTCCTGGTGCTAAACAAAAGTCCATCATTCATTCTAACACCAGCTTTAAGAGCTGGAGACAAATGGAGTCTGAATGTTCACGCCAGTGTGGTACGAATGAGCTGTGATCTCAGGATGTTGGCTGCTCTGCTGACAGGGGAAAGAGTGGTTTAATGTCTTTGGCTGAGAACACTTTCTGAAAGGGTGGAGAAGACCAACATTAATATCGAGTCCTGTTATTTAATAACTAAAAATGATGTATTGTAGATGGGGGCATCCGAAGACCGGAGGAAAGTGTGTTCCTCAAATCCAGAAGACGCAGAATGGGAGCAAATGCCAAGGCACTGGGCGTTAAGGAAGGAGCCATTCTAAGAGCGTTTTCTTTAAGGTCTTCAAAAACTGCCCCTCATGAGTATTTATAACCAGGATTTTTAACTTGATTTTATTATAAATGCAGGTGGTCCCTGCACTTAGGATTTCTTGATTTTACCAAGGGTGCAAAAGTTGTGTGTGCATCAATTAGAAACCGTGTTTCGAGTTTGGTGCTTGGATCTGTTTCCAGGCTAGCAATATGCATTCCGATGCTCTGGCAATGCTGGGTACCACAGCTCTGCTCCCGTCTGCCCATCGTGAGATCGAGCAACCAATGCCAGTAGTTTGTAAATTAAAGATGTAATTATAAGTTGAGGGTGGTGGCTACCATGAGGCGCGACTTCCTCCAGCATCCATCTTCCTGTCTGAGTCTTTCATCCTACAGACATACACTGAATAGGATCTCCTCCACCCCAAGTGCTATTTCAGGTCTGGGCTAGCAGTTCTGGTGTCCTTTCCTATGAAATGAACCCTTTTCAAAACTCAATGCAATGGAGAACTTGGTGGATCCAGTGATGTGCTCCGTGATGTAAATTGTGGTGTCTGATACTCTTTATGTAGTTTTCATTGGCCTCATCTTGACAAAAAGACACAATATTTTAAAATTATAGGCAAAAGTATATTGCAATGTACCATCTATGTCTGCCATTCTTCTGAAGTCACTTTTATGGTTTTTTGTTTTGTTTTTGTTTTTTTTGAGACAGGGTTTCTCTGTAGTTTTGGAGCCTGTCCTGGAACTTGCTCTGTAGACCGGGCTGGCCTTGAACTCACAGAGATCACCTGTCTCAGCCTCCTGAGTGCTGGGATTAAAGGCGTGTACCACCACCACTCGGCTTGAAGTCACTTTTTAAAGGGACATCTGATTGTCCCTACATGATCTGTTTCCATAATTCTGGATTTGAATGGCATTTAAGGGAAAGAAGAGGACCTTAACAGTTGTTTCTGATGAATTGAAATAAAAAGCAGAGAAAGGCTGCCATGGCATTTGAATCGAAAGTTCATAAAAATCAGAGGTGAGGCACCAGCAGGAGATGCTTATAAAGGCAGTAGGACCTCCTGTTGGGATAGGGCCCTGCCGCAACTCCAGGTCTAATTTCTTCCACTTAATATTATATCCTGTCTCTTAAATGAAGTCTCCAAAATAACCCACAAACCCCAGATCTCCCCAGAAACGGACACAGATGAACTCCCATGATTTAGATTCATGTCAAAAGCTAATTACGTGAGCAAAGAAAGACATGGCCAAAGTGTGAAGTGTGGTGGTTTGTTTTTTTAAGATTTTAGAATGCATTCGGCTTATTTTCTCAAGTGTCCCCCACTTAAGTGAAATAATAAATCAGTTTGCCAAAGCACAAATGAACACAAACAAGAGATTCATTTTTACTTCATTAATAAACATCAAGTATGAAGTTACCCTAACAGCCAGCGAGCCAAACCCTCTGACAGGAAATAGCTCCTGGGAAGACTTGGTAGGCGCATAGAGAGCCTTCCAGACTATCACGTGATCATTTCATCACTGAAGTCCTTGCTCCTGTCTCTCTTGCTTCATCCATTTGCAGGTCCTGTGTAGTGGAGAAGTACGATTGAAAACTCACACTATGGGGCTAGGTTGCCTGATTATTAATCCCGAGTCTGCTATTAACTCGCTCTGTGCCCTTTCGTAACCCCTCGCCTTCTCTGCGTTTCCATATCTCTGTGTGAGAAAAGAGGACAATGAAGATTGTTACCAGGACCTAACACAGGCATTGGCAAGCTTCATCTGTTAGCTAAACCGATTTTGTGGCCTACGTTAAGCTTGAATGGGATCCTACTGAGTTCATATGAACACATCATTCTGAGTCCAGTCTTGTAGTTTCTTACCGAGGTGGGACTGGCCTACGGTCAGACATCGTAGCTGCATAAGGAGTCACAAACCAGCCACTGGAAATCCATGGGACCCTGAAAATGTGCTTCCTTGCACAGTATGTTTTTGATGTTGTTTTTGTTTGTTTGCTTGTTTGGTTTGGTTTTGGGTCGCTGTTGTTTTGTTTTATTTGTTTACATTTCGAGCAGGAATGTTCTTGGGGCTGCATATGTTTCGTATTTCTCCAAAAGTCA